TTAGAAGAAGTGGTGGCATCTTTCCCAGAAATTCTACTCCCTGGCATGAAAACTGGGGGATGTTTCCTTGACGCAGTAGAGTGAATGTGGGAACTGCGAGGGGACAGCGGGCAAGTGGAGTTTGGAATGCTTTCAACTCCCTGGACGTCGGAAATGAGCTGGGAACTGACTGTCTCTGCCTCAGATAGGGAGTGGAGATGAATGGAGAAGGAAGGACAACAAACATGCCGAGGTTTCCTTAATTTTATTTGGAAATCTTTTTTCCCGAGCTCAGGATGTCCAACCATCCAGGTGATCCCCAACCATCCAGGTGCTCTCCAGCCATCCAGGTGATCATCTCCACATCAGGTGTGGGCTGATGGAAAGGGCTGGAAGGGTTTTAGGTCGGAAGCTGCTGTTTGTCCGTGTGGCCTGGACCCAAAGTCCCCAGGGATACGAGGCAGGTGAAGCGCTGAGGGCGCTGAAACGGGGCCTTCTGTGCACCAGCACTTTGGGGGTGGAAATCAGGAGTTCTGCTGCCTCACCCTGAGGCAGGGAAGCTGTGACACAAAGCGCTGGCTGCATTTCTGGTGGCAGGGGAATAATCCCAGGATATGCTGGGCTGGAAGGGACCCACGGGGATCGTGGAGTCCAACCCTCAGCCCTGCACAGGAGCCACCCCGGGAGCCTCAGAGGGGTGAAGAGGTGTTCCCATGGAGCCTGTGAGCTCCGTGGTGGCTGCAGGCAGACAAACCCCCAGCTCCTGTGCCCTCTGCCCCCACAGAGAGCGGGGCTGAGCTCGTGCCACGGCAGCTGGGGCAGAGTTTTTGGCGGGGCCGAGGCGCGATGTGGAATCTCATTTTGAGGTTTGCTCCGCCAAATGTTCCAGTTCCCTTCTTGGGACTCATTGAGGAAACAGAAGCTCGACCTCCAGGGAAGTGCAGGGGCTGAACCACCTTCCCTCATTGCCTTATTCCTGCTCTCTTCCCCTTCCCTCATTGCCTTATTCCTGCTCTCCTCCCTCCTCCTCCCTCCTCTCTCGGTGGGCGCCAGTTCAAAAACACACACTGAGCAGGGAAAGTGGAGCTGTCAGTGCATGGAAACGGGGAGCCCAGGGTAGGGAAACGTGGCAGAGCTGAGCTGCAGGGGAGCCAGGCAGGGAATTAGCCTCGTGCTGTTAAGAAATAGATGTGTTTTCCGACCAAAATAAAACCGTAAATGTCCCGGCGGTGCGACAGAAACGGGCTCTGGGGTGGGGATGGAGTCCTTCAGTCGGTTCTTGGTGTCTGTGGCCTTCCCTGGCATCACAAGGACCCAACCAGGTGGTGAAAAGCAGGTGTGGAGAGGAGGGGCTTTTGGCTTCACCAAGTGCTGGAGGTTTGCAGGGGTGGGGAGTGACCTTTTTGGGGAGCTTTGGTGGGAACCTCCCCCCTGAGCTTTGTGTTTGCCTGGATTGTGAGCGGTGGGGAGGGAGGAGTGTGGGGAGCTGCCTTCAGGGAGCAAGGCTCATGTTCCTGCTCTGCCTGGGTGGGGTCTCCACCTCAGGGATGACAAATCTCTGGGGGGCTGCACACAGAGGGCGTTGCTGGGGTTGTTTTGAGGTCTGTGTGTGCAAATGGCCAAGTGTTGGGTCCTGCGTTTGCTCCAACAACCCCCTGGAATGCTCCAGGCTGGAGGAAGAGGGGCTGGAAAAGCTGGAGAAGGCCCTGGGGGTGCTGGTGACAGGGGACGAACACAAGCCTGGGTGTGCCTGGGGGGCAGGAGGTCAAAGGCATCTGGGCTGGATCAGGGATAGCGTGAGCACAGGGATTGTCCCCCTGTGCTGGCACTGCTGAGGGACCTCCAGGGCTGTGTCCAGGTCTGGAACCTCATGGGAGAGAGACATGGAGGGGCTGGAGCGTGTGCAGGGAAGGGAACGGAGCTGGGAAGGGGCTGGAGCAGCAGGAGGGGCTGAGGGAGCTGGGGGGGCTCAGCCTGGAGAAAAGGAGGCTCAGGGGGGACCTTCTGGCTCTGCAAGTCCCTGACAGGAGGGGGGAGCCGGGGGGGGTCGGGCTCTGCTCCCAGGGAACAAGGGACAGGAGGAGAGGGAACGGCCTCCAGCTGTGCCAGGGGAGGCTCAGGTTGGCCAGGAGGAGGAATTTCCTGCTGGAAAGGGTGGTGAGGCCTTGGCAGGGGGGTTTGGAGTGCCCAGCCCTGGAGGTGTCCCAGGAAGGCCTGGCCGTGGCACTCAGTGCTCTGGGCTGGGGGACAAGGTGGGGATGGGGCACGGGGGGATCCATGGGCTGGGAGGGCTTTTCCAGCCTCAGGGATCCTGGGATTCTGTGAAATTTTGCACTTCAGTGTCCCTTGGCCTCTCCTCCTTCTGTGTGGCCAGAGAATGAACTGGTCTTGTCTGGCAGCAGAGATCAGCTCAGCCCTGTCCCTCTGCTCTGATTCACCCTCTACCCTCAGCCCACACAGTTTGATATCAGTTTGATATCAGTTTGATATCGGTTTGATATCAGTTTGATATCGGTTTGATATCAGTTTGATATCAGTTTGATATCAGTTTGATATCGGTTTGATATCAGTTTGATATCAGTTTGATACCGCTGCTGTCCCCAGTCAGCTGGATAACAGCTCCCAGCACCAGCCTTGGCTCTGGCTTTTGGGTTGCACTGATTCAAAAATTTCATTTTAAAGCCCTTTTCACGTGCCCTCAACAGCCCAGGAGGGCACCAAGTTTACAAGAAAGATGATCCCATAAGATTTAGCATTTCCCTGACCTCTCATCCCACTGCTGATGGGATTTGCAGTTCCCTGAGCTCCAGAAACATTTTACCTCGGATTTTCACGCTCGACCTAAAACTCATCTCAAGGCCTGAATCCTGCCCTGGGCTCAGGCTCTGCCAGGCTCAGGCAGTGGCAATTTGGAAGTAGGTTACTCAGAGACAACCACAGCCCCAGCCCAGTGCTGGGTTTCTGGAGCTGCCTCTTTCTCTGAAGGTGGAGAAAAACCAAGGCCGTGCTTGGCCAGGATGGGGCTGTTCCTCTCTGTCCTGATCTCCACCAGCACAGCTCCTGAGTGGCCCCAAAATCATCCTGTTTTTTTAACAAAAAGATGGTTGTGCTCTTTGTCAGGATGACTTTCTGTTACAGAGAATTCCCCAGGCTGGTTTTGGACCTCTCTGAGAAGTGTTTCCTTTCACCGGCGAATGTTTGGAGCTGTAATCCCATCAAGTGTGTGCTCGTGGCCCTTGTCTGCTAGCAGGGTATTAATGTGGGTATTATTATCTTCTGATCAGCAGCAAAGCCCAAATCTGCTGAGGAGTGAATTATTTTCCCCAGCTGAGTGGAGTTTTTCAATCTTTCTGTAATCCTGCTTTTAAATCTCTGCCGCCGGAATGACTTTTGTACTTATCGTTTGTGTCTAGAAAATTGAAATCTAGAAAATGGCAGGTTTTTTTCTCGGGGAGAGTAATAAGTCAGGAAAATGCCATTAGTTTGCAACCTAGACTGTGGCTGTCTCATCCCAGACACCAATGCAAAGTCATGCTGCAGTGGTCAAACAAAATATTGTGATGGGAGGCCTTTATTAAATCACTCCTGATGTTCAAACTTGCTTTTAAATCTACTTCTGGCCAGTCTGGAACAATATGACAGCATGGAAGCTCTATGGATCAAGAAGACCCTTTGCTCTTCCAAAAGGTGCTCGAGAGCAAATCCCAATTTTTGCTGAAATTGGCCCCAAAATTGAAGTGCAGTTCAGGCATCATCCCAGGGGCAGCTGAGTGGCCCCATCACCAGACACTGAGCAGGTTCTGAAGCCAAAGGGTTGTCCTGGTTTTCTGTTCCCTCAGAGAGCTTGTTCTTCTCCCTCTGTGCCCCAGATTTGTTGGCTGAGATGGCACAAAATAACCGGGGAAAGCTGTGCTGGCACCCAGAGCAGTTGTGCCCGAGGATTCTCTGCTGACTGTGAGCAAACCCTGGGGGGGTTCAGTGATGGGGTAAATGTCAGGTGAGTAGAATCAGAGAATAGGATCCCAGACTGGTTTGGGTTGGAAGGGATTCTGAGGATCATCCAGTGCCACCCCCTGCCATGGGCAGGGACACCTTCCACCAGCCCAGGTTGCTCCAAGCCCCGTCCAACCTGGCCTTGGACACTTCCAGGGATCCAGGGGCAGCCACAGCTTCTCTGGCCAACCTGGGCCAGGGCCTCCCCACCCTCCCAGCCAGGAATTCCTTCCCAATATCCCATCTATCCCTGCCCTCTGGCAGTTTGAAGCCATTCCCCTTGTCCTGTCCCTCCAGCCCTTGGAAATAGTCTCTCTCCATCTTTCCTGGAGCCTCTTCGGGCCCTGCAAGGCCACAATCAGTTCCCCCCAAAGCTTCTCCTCTCCAGGCTGAACAATCCCAGCTCTCCCAGCCTTTCCTCCCAGCAGAGCTGCTCCAGCCCTGGGATCCTCCTGGTTCCTGCTCTGGCCTCTCTCCAGCAGCTCCATGTCCTTGCTGGGCTGTTCCCCAGGGCTGGAGCAGCTCTGCAGGGGGGTCTCACCCGAGGGGGCAGAGGGGCACAATCCCCCCCTGCCCTGCTGCCCACATTGGGGGATCAGCCCAGGGCACAGGGTTGGGTCATTTCCAGCCTCTTCTCCAAGTCCTTCTCCCAGGGCTGCTCCGTCTGCTCATCCCCAGCCTGGATTGATCCCGGGCTTTTCCCAATCCAGGTGCAGCACCGGCACTCGGTCTTTCCCAAAGCAAACAGTCTCACTTGGGACACCCAGAGAGCTGCCCCCGATGTGCTCCACAAAGCAATCCCTGCCTCTCTCAACTCCCCCCCTCGGAGCAGACACTTTCATTGCTCCAGTTTCCTAACGAGGGGATCATTGTCTGCCCTGCCCTCCGGGAAATGTTGGGAAAAGAAACGGCTGGATGTTGTGCAAGCCCAGAGAAGCAGATTTTCAAAGGTGTTTATTCCGCTGTGCAGGGCAAGAGACCAAACACTCCCAGCAGTGCTGGTCCTAATTATTTAAAACTCGATTTCGATGTCTGTCTGCATTCCTGGGCTCCTGAAGGAACTCTGGAGGCTTGGGAAAGCCAACAGCATGAATGACAGAGAAAAAGAAATCAGTGAGGAAGTGAATCAGGATGTGTTTCAGGATATAAGGTGAGGGAAGTTTCCTGGGAGAGATAAGGGCTTTCTTCGGAGGGAATTTGAATTGTGTGCAGTAAATAATGGTTGCCCAGGCTGGGTGGTTGTGAGAAAACAAATTTATGAATAGGGGTTTGTCGAGGGAATGTGGCCCCTTCCACGTGTGACTGAGCCATGGGAGTGAGAGGAAAACGTCACAGGGTTGTGTCATGAGAAGCTCTGATCTGAAGATATGGATGTGAGAGAGGGAAGTGGGGGTTCTGCAGCCGCAGGTGCAGGTTTGAGCGCGGCCCTTTGGTGTGGAAGTTCCTTGGTTGCTTGGGAAAAAAAGAAGAGGGAAGTGTTCCTGTGTCCAAAGGTGGGCTGGGAGCAGCTCAGCTCTGCTCCACTCTGCAGCTCCTGCCAGGAGGGGGGAGCCAGGGGAGGACTGACTTCTGCTCCCGGGGAACAAGGGACAGGAGGAGAGGGAACGGCCTCCAGCTGTGCCAGGGGAGGCTCAGGTTGGCCAGGAGGAGGAATTTCCTGCTGGAAAGGGTGGTGAGGCCTTGGCAGGGGCTGCCCAGGGAGGTTTGGAGTGCCCAGCCCTGGAGGTGTCCCAGGAAGGCCTGGCCGTGGCACTCAGTGCTCTGGGCTGGGGGACAAGGTGGGGATGGGGCACAGGGGGGATCCATGGGCTGGGAGGGCTTTTCCAGCCTCAGGGATCCCGGGATTCCATGACCTGTTCACTGGTGGAATTGAAGAAGTCTCTGCTGAGGATGTGTGGTTTCTCTATGGTATTCAATTAAATTCAGTTGGATTCTCAAAGCAGAAGGTAAAACCATAACCCAGACAGGCAAAATTTCAGGCTTCTCCTCAGTTTTAACGTGTGGGAGATGTTAAACTTTCCAGAAGAAAGTTCAGTAGAGCTTTGGCTTCAGGGGTGAGATAATTTATCAACTCCCAACCTCATTCTGGGGAACAGCACAGTGAAGGCTGAACCTTTCAAAGCAACCAGCAGCCAGAACCCCACCTGAGCTCGGGGCTTGTCACCCAAACTTCCCCCCAAAATGGTTCAGCTCTGTAGTGACAGGTCCCCCAGAGCCACGTTGTGCTGTGTCACTCCTTGGCAGCTCCCACTCGCCCCACTTGGACTGGGTTTTAATGTTGTTTCATTTTATAACTTTCCCCTTTGCAAAACCCCAAGGGTTTGAGCTGCATTGGAGAATTTGGCCTTCCCAGCTCGTGGCACCGAGTGGTGCTGGCTGCCTCCCAGGCTGTGTGTGTGAGCAGCTCTCTTTTAGTCCTGTTTGGAATTTGGTAAATTTATAAGATCTCCCCACACCCTTTCTCTGCAGGAGCCACTTAGTTTCTTTGTGAGCTTTGCTGTTAAACTGTGCATAATTTGGGGTTTTCATTGTCCTCCCCCTGCTTTTGAAGCCTCTTTGTGATTTTTCAAAAGACGTTAATTTCCCTTTTGTTGTTTTCTGTTGACCACTTAATCCTCTCCCATTCCAATTGTTATTCTTATTGGGCCCCTCCAACTTTGCTGTTGTTTGAAATGTCTGTCATCTCAAACTCGCCTTTGTTCCTCCAACAATGATTTTGGGAGCCTCCCTGCTGAGCCACATTCCAAATGTGTGTGTGGCTGTGGATGGGGGGATTTTTGGCCCTCCTTGCTCTCTGACTCCTCTCCATCCTCCATCTGGGCTATCAGCAAATTCAGGAAGCTCCGAGGAAACACGACCAGTTTTCCTTGGACACTGGAAACTTAAAACTCCACCAGGGTGAGTTTATCAGCTCTAACTCAGCCCTTGGGGGCTGATGGTGCCTCTGGTGGAAAATGGATTTCTTTTTAAGCCTCCCAGCAGCTCCACAAACATTTCAGAGCTACCTAACCTTGCCACAAAGTGGAAGCAATCCAAAAAACCCGTGTGAATCATTCCTTCCAAAATAGTTGAGGAGAGGATGAAGCACCTGAAGGTCTCCCTGGAGGTGCACGTGGATCAGAGGGGGAGTCCAGATATTTATCAGGCACTAAATGTTTTCACTTCAGGTCCAAGAATTTCACCTCAGAAGACCTTGGGCCTTCAACAATCATCTTCAAAGAGGGGGTGGGCATCACAGTCGTGGGGACATCTGAGGAACTCGGGGTGGGAGTGCCCAGATTTTAGAGCTGTTTGGTTCCCAAGGGATGGAAACAGTGGTAAAAGAGCAGCATTAGGTGTCTTGAGCCTAAAGTGGAGATCCCTAACTCAGCTTTGGTTGGGGACCAACTCCATGGCCTGGAGAAGGGCAACAAAGTGGAGGAAAATGGGACATTTCCTCCTTTCTTGCCTCCCAAACAGGGGGAGAGGATTTAGGACTGGGAGTTCTGGCACCTCGTTGCTGCCCTCTGGAAAGAGCCAGGTTTCTGGGGATGGGTGGGGTTTTAAGGCACTTTCTAATCCTTGGAGCCCCCCAGTTGGCTGGTTTGGGTGGGATTCATTTCTGTGGGTGTTAAAGCAGCAGAACCCTGAGGTCCTGAAGGTGGACTCACCCCACCACCAGGGCTGATTTAGCAGCTCAGCACTTGGCATTTGCACCCAGACTTTGTCCATTCCTGGGTGGAAATGGCTCAGGAACACCGAGGTGCTTGGAGAAAATGTGCTCCTTTGGGAGAATTTACCCCTTGCTGGACTCCAGGTGAGTGGCCATGGTGGAAACGGGACAGCCTGGTCTCCTCACCAGTGACTGTGTCGCACAAACTGGTTTGGTTTGAAGTATTTGTGTCACTTAAACTTGTCGAGGAGAGGGCAAAAACCAGAAGGAAATAATGGCCTTTGGGTGTCACAAAAGCTTGATCAGGGCTCAGTGTTCTCACTGACACAGTAGAGGCTCAGCCCTGAAAGCTTTTTTTCGAGGTCCTGCAACCCAAAGTCACCCAGGTTGGCCATTCCCACCCAAAATGGTCCTGAGAAAACAAGTTTGGGATTGACTCCGAGGCTTTGGAGTCTTTGCCCGAACCATTTTGGAAAAGAAAGATCCCAGAGAAGAGAAGCTTTGGGGTGACCTGATTGTGGCCTTGCAGGACCTGAGGGAGCTCCAAGAAAGATGGAGAGAGACTATTTCCAAGGGATGGAATGGCAGGACAAGGGGGAATGGCCTCAAACTGCCAGAGGGCAGGCATAGATGGGATATTGGGAAGGAATTCCTGACTGGGAGGGTGGGGAGGCCCTGGCCCAGGTTGGCCAGAGAAGCTGTGGCTGCTTCCCACCTGCCAAAGGAAGGTCTTCTCCTCCTCTGAAGTGGTGCCCATTTCCTGAAGAGCCACTTGGACAATTGTCTGGATTGAGTTCCAGGTGAGAAATAACTATTTTCCCTACCAGAAACATCTTTAACTTGGTGGTGTCTCTTGAGCTGGTGACAAACTCTGCTTTCCTGAAGCCCATCCAGCTGTTTTTCAGGGATCCTGGAGGTGTTTTGCCCTCCACACGTGGTTGGGCATCGGTTCAATGCTGCAGCTCAGCAGTTGGCCTGTGTCAGATCTGCTCTTTACTTCAGTAAATTCATTATCTTCCAGTGCTGCAGCAACACAAAGACTCCCTTTGGACAATTAGGACCACAAGGGAGGCTTTGGGAAGCTGATTGTTCCCTCCTGGGAAGAGATGAAAGACCAGAGTGGTAAAGAGAAGAGATTTTTCATTATAGATCTTAAGATTAAACCCGAGGGGCTGCTTGGGCTGGAAATCTGCCTTATGTTTTGTAGCAATAAGTGGATTTCAAATGCTTGGCTCCTGGTCATGTTTGTAGGTAATGGTCCTCTACTTGAGCTCGCTCTGCTTTCCTGGAGGTGGATTAGGACATAATTAAATCTGGGGAAGGGTGTAACAAAAACCAGGATTCCATCCCAGCGGATTAATTGCCGGGTCTGGTTTTGAGGGCAGAATCCCTGCAAGCACTGAATTTGCTCCATCTTCCCCCTATTTACATGAGAGCCCTTGGCATTTACTGCCAGCAAACGACAAAGGGATCATTTTCTTGTGCAAATAAAAGCAGGGGGGAGCTGCTCTCCTGGGTGTTGACACTTCTGTGGCACCTGGTGGGAACTAGTTGGAGTAAACTGCACTTAACCCCCTACTACACCACCAGAGGTGCATAAAGGAGCCTTTTTGGAAATGAAACCCAGGTCATTTATCTTCTGCTGTGTCTGTAAAAGAGAGTTTTTCTTAAATGGCAAAGGCACCATCAGTCCCTGTCTGATGGGGCATCACTAAATAGCCACTTCTGTGCTGGGTTCGTGTGGAGGCAGAAATTTGGGAGGAATCTGAGCCAGAGGTTTGGCCTGTGGCTCCATGGGCAATTCCAGCTCCTGGGATGCCAATCCTGGCAATTCCCGAGGCTGTCCCATGGGAAGGCAGCTCTGCTGGAAGGGGGCAGGGAGAAGGTTCTGCTAAAGACAAACGTGGAAATGTGAGAAGAGCTGAAAATCCCAGTGATGCTGGGAAAGGTTTTTATGTTTGAGAGGAATTCGAAGCTGGACGAGTCTCCATCTATCCCACACAGCCTTTCCCTGTGCTCAGCCTCAGCCCATCCTTTTGGGATTGCTGCAGCTCCTGGAGAGGCTGAAGAGGGGATGGAACAGAGACAGAAGAGGCTTTGACTCCCCAAAAGCTGCTCCTCCTCTTTTCTGGTGGTTGCTGGAATTAGGGATGATTTTTAAGTTTGAGCTGCTCGTGTTAACGAAGTGCTTTTGGAGCTGTTTTAATTTCGTTTTGGGTCGTTTTGGTTATTTTAAATGAGAGGGAAACGGTTACTTTCAACAACATGAGCCCAGTTTAATCCTCCAGCCCAGTTAACCAGCCCAGTTTAATCCTCCAGCCCAGTTAACCAGCCCAGTTTAATCCTCCAGCCCAGTTAACCAGCCCAGTTTAATGCTCCAGCCCAGTTAACCAGCCCAGTTTAACCCTCTGTGCCTCGGCTGTCCCTGCTGGGAGGAGGGAGCAGAACCAGCCACCTTGGTTTCTGCTGTTTGACACTTCTTGGCTTTCCCAGAGGAGCAGCATCCCAATGATTTCCACTGTGGTTGTGTCTCCAGGAGCAGATTTGAGGAAATCTCCCCTGGTTGGCTGGGCAGGGACAGGAACAGTGGGAGAACCAGCGTTGGCAGAGCAGTGGAGCTTGAAACCATCCAACTGGATAATCCTCTGGGATTATTCTTTGTGCCTCTCTCAGTAAAAACGAGGGCAAGCAACCCAAGCCAACCCTGATGTGGTTTTACTTCCCTCTGCTGCTTTGCTGGGTCCCTTTCACACCAAACACAGAATCAGGAACACTCAAACCTCACTGGGATCTCAAGGTTCCTTCTCACCTCCTGCAAACAGAATTTGCTGCTGAATTTCGGGAGAGAGAATCAGGCTTTCATCCTGACTGAGCAGCCATTTATAAAGACAAACCCCAATTCTATTGATTATTTCCCCTCTGGCATAGCCTTGCTTGGTGCTGAAAGCACAGCCAGTTGTTAACCTACTTTTTCAGGGTGATGTGTCCTCCAGCATGGAAAGACCCAGGGAGGGTTTGGTTTTTTTTTTTTTCTCTTTGCAGTCAGAGAGGTTTTTTATTTTTCAGCTCTGAAACACGGGGCTGAGGGAGGGATGAGATGTGAGATAAGAAAGAGCTGAAGGCAGCAGGTCACTCACTCAAGATGCCAAATCCCAGCTTTTCTGTTCATCTGCTGTTTCTGGCTTAATGGCATTTTCAATACTTTAATATTTCAATACTTTAAATATTCAGAAACGGCTCCATTTGCAGTTACACCTGAAAACAGCTCTAGAAACTCCTTGGGAGGCAGGAAGAACTTTTCATCCCTGGATGTTTTACTTCCAGTTAGCCTGGGGAATTTTTGTTAAATGACAAAGAAACCTGACTAATAGGGAATCACCAAATATTGGGAAGGAATTCCTCCCTGTGAGGGTGGGGAGCCCCTGGCACAGGTTGGGCAGAGAATCTGTGGCTGCCCCATCCCAAGAGGCTGGAATCAAATGGGGAAAAAACCATCTTGAAAGGGATTTTAGGGCAAATTACAAAATCAAAAAGGCTTCCAGAATGCAGAATGTTGTTATAAATTTATCTTTAATTTTATCTAAGGCAGAAACCGAGAAGAAAATGTGACACACGGGGCTTTGACCCCAGAAATCACATTTCCAGGAGGCAGGTAATGATTAGACCTGTGCTTAGGCTGGTTCTTTTTTCATCTGCCTGGCTTTTCTAATTGATAATTTTAATTTTAATACTCTGTTGAAGGTGGATCAGAGCAACAGGATCAGCAAAGAGCTGCCCAGGAAGAAGGAACAGCACGGATGGAGCCCTTGGAAGGTGGGTATTTAGGTAGGTGTAGTGTCCAGGGACAGTGAGGAGGAGGATGAACCTTCTGGTGGAAGGTGATGAGGTGGAATGAGATGATGTTTAAGGCCCATTCCTGCCCAAACCATTCCATGATTCCAGACTGCAAGGCTGGAGTGAGGCAGAGACAACCCCCAGGAGGGATCCAGAAGGAACAGGAGACCTCTCAGGTTGGCACAAGCAGTGCCCAGGGTCCAAAGGGGCAAACCCAAAGGTGCCTCTCGGACCCCAGAGTTCCCAAAGCTCCCCCAAAGGTGCCTCTGCCCCTGCAGGTCGGCACAGGCCAAAGCCATGGATACACTCACTCAGATTTCTCCTAAATTTCAGTCTCTGCATGAACTCCTCAGCACAAAAGAGGGAATTTCATGGAATCCCAGGATGGTTTGGGCTGGGAGGGACCTCAAAGCCCATCCAGTGCCACCCCTGCCATGGGCAGGGACACCTTCCACCAGCCCGGGTTGCTCCAAGCCCCGTCCAACCTGGCCTTGGACACTTCCAGGGATCCAGGGGCAGCCACAGCTTCTCTGGGAATTCTATCCCAGCCCCTCCCCACCCTCCCAGCCAGGAATTCCTTCCCAATATCCCATCTAACCCTGCCCCCTGACAGTAGGAAGCCATTCCCTGTGTCCTGTCCCTCCATCCCTTGTCCCCAGTCCCTCTCCAGCTCTCCTGGAGCCCCTTTAGGCCCTGGAAGGGGCTCTCAGCTCTCCCTGGAGCCTTCTCTTCTCCAGGCTGAACAGAATAAAAATAATCTAATAAAATAAAAGTGCACGTTTTCCAGAAGGCTCCTCGTGCTCTGGAGCAGCAGGAGGGGCTGAGGGAGCTGGGGGGGCTCAGCCTGGAGAAAAGGAGGCTCAGGGGGGACCTTCTGGCTCTGCAACCCCCTGACAGGAGGGGGGAGCCGGGGGGGGGTCGGGCTCTGCTGCCAGGGAACAAGGGACAGGAGGAGAGGGAACGGCCTCCAGCTGTGCCAGGGGAGGCTCAGGTGGGCCAGGAGGAGGAATTTCTCCCTGGAAAGGGTGGTGAGGCCTTGGCAGGGGCTGCCCAGGGAGGTTTGGAGTGCCCAGCCCTGGAGGTGTCCCAGGAAGGCCTGGCCGTGGCACTCAGTGCTCTGGGCTGGGGGACAAGGTGGGGATGGGGCACAGGGGGGATCCATGGGCTGGGAGGGCTTTTCCAGCCTCAGGGATTTTGGGATTCAACCATTCAGATTAATCTATTTCGAGACAGTTGGGCCACGATGTGTTGCCATCAATCTTGAATTGTCCTTTTCTCAGGTCACAGAGAACATCCAGCACCTTCCAGGAGGAACTGGCCCCCAAAGCAGCATTTTAACCCCCAGAATGGGCAGTTTCCAAGCACAGCAAAGGTGAGTTTGTGCCTGTGTTTTGATTGTCTGGGTGACACCTACAACATCCTGCAGTGTGTCATCACCATGCTCAGAGTTTGCTCATTTTTAGGCACTTCTTTCTCCCCTCTCCAGCCTAGATGTTTATAATATTTATATCACGCCACTGCTTGAGCAGAAACCTCCTTAGAATGTCTTTTCAGTGGAATTTTAAAGTTGAAATGGCTTTTTAAACGAAGAAGAAAAAAAAAAGGAAATTTCCTTGGTAAAAACAACGGGCTTTAATTACATTTTCATGCCCTCCATCAGGAAAACTGAGAGCTAAAAAAAATCTCCCCCGTATCTGGCGAGCTAAACTGAGAGAGTTTTTTGTAAAATTAGTTGTCATGTGGCTGAATTTTTGGGGTTAGACTTTTTTTTGTTGGAGGAAACCGGAAAATAATTTTTAATTTTGCGGTGGGAGTTTGAAAAATGCAGCAGCAGCCCGTAAATAAATTAAAAATCCTTGTGCTTCACGAGGGTGTTTTTAACATAAAAACAACCCTTCCAAGTGGAGGTGATCACTGGGCTTAGTCCTGCTGCAACAGATTAGTTCATCCTGGAACTAATTTTAGGCTGGCTCTTAGGCTGGCTCTGGAATCCAGAGAGAAAAACCTGCTGCACAGCAAGATTTTGGACACCTAAATCAGGCTTTTGCTCTCCATTTCCTCTTGGAGGAACCTCTCTGTGCCCCTGAACCATCTGGTGTGGCCAGGGCTGCAGCTTTCAGCTTGGGAGGCTGAAATATTGCTTTCACTCCCTGGAAAAAATGGGATTAGATAATAAAGACTTCAGACACTGAGCCATAATAATTATTAAGATATTTTCTGGGACAGGTGGGATTTGCTGCAGGGATTTGTTAACACAGGTAGGTTGGGGCAGATTGTTCTGGGAGTGTTTTGTCTTGGTGTGACAGAAAGAGGGGGGGAAGGTTTTGTGACTAACACGATGAGGCTTCCAAAAATATCCCCTCCCCGGGGCTGTGTGTCCTGCCTGGTGTCTTTCCCTGTCCATCCTCTGGAATTCTCCATCATTCCTGGCATTTTTGTGTCTCTCAAGGCCTCCTCCTCCCACAGCATCACCATTCCTCCCTGAAACTCTTCTTCTTTTGTCTCAGGGCCTCGTTCTTCTCTTGGAGAATCTCTCCTGGGATATTGGGAAGGAATTCCTGGCTGGGAGGGTGGGCAGGCCCTGGCCCAGGTTGCCCAGAGAAGCTGTGGCTGCCCCTGGATCCCTGGAAGTGTCCAAGGCCAGGTTGGAGCAACCTTGGACAGTGGAAGGTGTCCCTGCCCATGGCAGGGCGTTGGAACTAAATGATCTTTAAGGTCCCTTCCAACCCAAACCATTCCATGATCCAAACTTTGTCCCACAATGTCCCCAGTTCCCCTACGTGTGTTGTCTTTTCTAAGGAGGGAATTGTGTTAATTTGGCACAATTTATTCCTGGCAAGTCCAGTGGAAATGCTCATTATCATCCTTTAGGTCCTTGGAAAATGGTGGGTTTATTTCATAAGAATCTCCGGGTTTCAGGGATCCCTGTTTTGCTGACAGGGGCTGTAATTCCCATAATTTTTAGAGGGAACTGCTGTGTTCCCTATTTCCCAGCCATTCCAGGGGATCACTCAGGGCTCTCAGATTTCTGTTGCTGCCTCCTTATCATGTGAGGAAGGATTTTCTCAGCCCCTGATGGTTTGAACATCCTTTATTTGTCAGAAATATGTTGAACCTGTGTTTTCCACCCCTTGCCTTTCCCTTGTTAACACCAAGTCAGGCTTAACTCTTTTCCTTTGACCACAGAAAGAAATGTTATCATGGATTTGACGTCTCTGTGGGTTTTTCTCCACACCAATTTTACCCATCTAATTTATTTCTTCTTGCCTTTCTATCCCCTGTCACTTGGCATTCATTTTTACTCCTCTGTGCTTCATCTGTTCCCCTTCACTCCTCCTCAGTTGCCTGCTTTTGCCCTCAGGATTTGCTGATATATTTGTTGATATTCTGGTCACTGAGCTCAGTGTTGAGACCTTTCCTTTGAATCTTATGCTTTCCACTGCACATTTAATAGACTTTCCTTTCCTTCCTCACAGTTCTCCCCAGTTATCTTCCTGGAAAACTCTCCCAAAATTCTTCCTTAGCTGGGGGATTCTGTTCTCCTGAGATCTGTTATTTCTTATCTGCTGCTCTCACATTTCCTTTTTTTCTTACAGCTCTGTCGTTTCACTCAAATTCTCCCTCACTTTGGCACTTGCCAGTCCCTTGGAACTGGACAAGAGTTCCACCATCTTTTTCCACCTCCATTGGATGCTGCAGCCACTTGTCCCCCTGAGGAAGTCAAACAGCTGACTTTGTGCCTCTTCCATTCATCCCCACGTCTTGACTGGAACAATTTTAAACACAAGGTTTATTTCAGTGACAACACTTACCCTCCTCCCTGGAATTCCTGGTTTCTGGGGAGGAAACATCTCCAGCTTATTCACAGACAGGCACATCTCCTCTTTGCAAGTTCCACCTCGGAGCTGAATGAAAATTAAAAAAAAAATTAAAGCAAAAAAGGAGAGGAAACTCAGAGATGGATTTATCCCACATTAGGCACGTCTTGGATGTGTGAACATGGCTTAAATTTTCAATCTGTTGGGGCTTGACCTTGGCAGGACTGAATCATGGAATAGCCTGAGTTGGAAGGGACCCCCAAGGATCATCCAGTCCAAGCCCTGGCCCTGCCCAGGACACCCCAACAATCCCTGAGAGCGTTGTCCAAACCCTCCTGGAGCTCTGGCAGCCTTGGGGCCGTGCCCACTGCCCTGGGGAGCCTGGGCAGTGCCCACCACCCTGTGGGGGAAGAACCTTGTCCTGAGATCCCCCCTGAGCCTGCCCTGTCCCAGCTCCAGCCCTGCCCTGGGTCCTGTCCCTGTCACAGAGAGCAAAGATCAGCTCAGTGGAGCCTGTTTGGCCCCTGGGGACTCAGTTCCTGGAGTGATGTCCATCCTGTCCTTGCCTGGCCATGGACACATTTCCTGCAGTGTCCTGGGCTCCCCCTGTGTGCTCCCACCTCCTAAACTCTGGGAATGTTTCTACAACCAACAACAGTTTCAGTGCATGTTCAAATTCTCTTTTTATCCATATTTGCTGACACCCAGAAGGCTCCTTTCTTTGAGCAGGGAGCATCTCATGAACAATTCTGCTTCGGGCTGCAAAACATCAAAGTCAATCTCTTTTCTCCTTCTCTTCCAGAAAACCACGATGTGGGAAAGGGACTCCCTTGAAACAGAGTTGCCTTCGGGGCAGTTTGTGCTCATTACAACACGCTGGAACAAAATAAATATTATTTGATTGTAAAATACATTTCATTTTCCTGGATCCATTTAAAAATGGGGCAAAATAACGCTCGGCTCCAGATGTGCTCAGAATCACAAACCCCTCCAGGTTGCTCACTCTCAACCCAGTTTAGATCACCTTGTTCTGGAGTCAAGGCTTCAAATTCAGGCCCTGTCCTTTGGTGTCACTGGACTGGGAGTTGGAATTTTCTTTGACCTGATGGAGAGAGGCCAGAGCAGGCACCAAGAGGATCCCAGGGCTGGAGCAGCTCTGCTGGGAGGAAAGGCTGGGAGAGCTGGGATTGTTCAGCCTGGAGAAGAGAAGCTTTGGGGTGACCTGACTTTGGCCTTCCAGGACCTGAAAGAGCTCCAGGAAAGATGGAGAGAGACTATTTCCAAGGGCTGGAGTGACAGGACAAGGGGGAATGGCTTCAAAGTGACAGAGAGTAGGGTTAGATGGGATATTGGGCAGGAATTCTTTACTGTCAGGGTGGTGCAACCTTGATTTGTGTCTGAGTGTGTCTTGACAATGTTCGGCTCAGAGTGGGCCCAAGCGTGTCATGATGGTTGGTTGAGATTTTTGGGGATGCTGCAGCACCCCAGCAGCATATTTTCATTTATTTTGATTCTTAAATGAGATTATTGGATAGAAAATCCACGTAAAAATATCCCAGAAACATCTGGAAAGAGCCCCATCCCCAGTGACAATGGGTTTTACTGCTGCCCGGCTCAGAACTTCACACCCTGAGCCAGGAGGATTTTCCAGAGGGCCACATTTACTTGGAATTCTCCCTGGGGTTTGCCATGCCAGCTGTGACTGTTGGTCACCTCCTGCCAGTGCTGCCACCACCTTGGTGGGGTTCAGGGGACGGTGCAGTGACAGAACCTCACTGGTGCTTCTCCTGAGGGTCTCCTGGAGGATCAGCACTCGCAGCAGATGGTGGAATTTTGCCATGGCCTTCAGGAGAAGCATTTTTTGGGCCTAAATTGCACCTTTTATATATAGCACCCAGTGCTGTTTGGCCTGGCAGGCGTCCAGAGTGTGGTTCCAGTGGCTCCTCCCGCCGTGTCACAGGACAGGGCTCTCCATGTGAACATCTCCCAGATGTTCTACCCTGGCCAAATTTAGCCCCGTGGATGGGATGTGGCATCCCGGCACGTAGACAGGGCTTTCCTGGAGGCCATGGAGAGGCTCCTGTCATCCTGGAAGGAGGAGGATCCCTGCAACCCTTGGGTTTGTGCTGTGGGAACTGTTCCTCCCCGGGGTGACCCCCGGAGGGGCCGTGGCAGCCGGGCAGGGGCACAGCGGCGGAATTTGGCAGAGGCCCGGAAAACGTGTCCCAGTTTTCTTGACAGATGTCCACTGGGATGGGAAAGAGCTTTCCCCTGCCCATTAGGGGACCTCAGCGAGCTCCTCCGTGGACTCACAGAATCCCGGGATATCCGGAGTTGGAAGTGACCCCCAAGGATCACGGAGTCCAACTCCTGGCCCTGCACAGGCCCAGCCCCAAGAGTCACCCCCTGTGTCCCAGAGGGTCATCCAAACCCTCCTGGAGCTCTGGCAGCCTTGGGGCCGTGCCCACTGACCCGGGGAGCCTGGGCAGTGCCCACCAGCCTCTGGGGGAAGAACCTTGTCCTGAGATCCCCCCTGAGCCTGCCCTGTCCCAGCTCCAGCCCTTCCCGGGTCCTGTCCCTGCTCCCAGAGAGCAAAGATCAGCTCAGTGGAGCCTGTTTGGCCCCTGGGGACTCAGTTCCTGGAGTGATGTCCATCCTGTCCTTGCCTGGCCATGGACAGCTTTCCTGCAGTGTCCTGGGCTCCCCCTGTGTGCTCCCACCTCCTAAACTCTGGGAATGTTTCTACAACCAACGGCAGTTTCAGTGCATGTTCAAATTCTCTTTTTATCCATATTTGCTGACACCCAGAAGGCTCCTTTCTTTGAGCAGGGAGCATCTCATGAACAATTCTGAAGAACCTTTTTCTTAGAAACCCTGACATCCTTCTCCAGCCCTGAAGCCAGGTAGTTTCTCCAGGAGTTTCTCCAGGAGTTTCTCCAGCACTTTCTGCAGGGGATCAGCCAACACGTCCATATCTTCGTGGTCTGCTGTTGTATTTTGGAGCTGTGGATCCCTGAGATCTCATCTGGAGATCCCATCACAGCAGCCTCCCTGGGTTGCTGCTTTGAAGCTGCACCTGGTGGTTCTGAGTCACCCAGGTGGGTAGGAAAGAGCTGGGAAAGAGCTGGAATGTGCATCTCCTTGGCATGACACAGGTGGTGGGAATGAGGCAGCAGGAAAGGCCTTTAAGTGAATGAGGGGCCCAAGGGTGGGCTCTGACTCCTGCCTGGGGTTTGGGCTTTGCTTTTCCATCTCAGTGGGGTATGGAAGTGTCCTTTCCCACTTTGCCTGGTAAAACCTGCAAGGAGTTGAAGCCTTTTCCAGCTTGATCTGGCCCAGAAACCAAGTGTATCCTGGGCTGTGCCCAAAGCAGGGTGGGCAGCAGCTGAGGGAGGGGATTCTGCCCCCCTGCTCTGCTCTGAGACCTCACCTGGAGTTCTGTGTCCAGCTCTGGGGCCCCCCAATACAAGAAGGACATGGAATGTTGGAGCAAGTCCAGAGAAGGCCAGGAAGTTGACAAGGGGACTGGAGCACCTTCCCAGCTGGGACAGGCTGGGAGAACTGGGGCTGTTCAGTCTGGAGAAGAGAAGGTTGGGTGGAGACCTCACAGCACCTTCTGGGGTCTGAAGGGGCCTGCAAGGAAACCAAAGAGGGACTTAATCAGGAACTGCAGGGACAGGACGAGGGGGAATGGGTTCAAACTGAAAGAGGAGAGATTCAGGTGAGATATTGGGAAGGAATTCCTGGCTGGGAGGGTGGGGAGGCCCTGGCCCAGGTTGCCCAGAGAAGCTGTGGCTGCCCCTGGATCCCTGGAAGTGTCCAAGGCCAGGTTGGACGGGGCTTGGAGCAACCTGGGCTGTTGGAAGGTGTCCCTGCCCATGGCAGGGGTGGCACTGGATGGGCTTTAAGGTCCTTTCCAACCCAAACCAGTCTGGGATTCTCTGATTCCATGATTCCATGACCCTTTGGGTGCAGCCCAACCCAGCAGCAGATGGGACACTCGGGGACAGCCTGAGGGGCTGTTCCCATAGGTGAGGCCATGACAGTGAGTGCCACCACTGCCATGCTGAAGGTTTTCCAAGCTCATTCCATGCCTGTCTCCTCCATCACAACAGGAATATCATCTCCCACTCCCTCCAGTGGCCTGCTCATCCAGCAGTGTGGAACACCAGGGCTGGGAGTTGCTTCTGCACAAGATCCTTCTGCCCCAGGAGAGTGAAGATTCTGCTCAAAACACCTATTTTTCCCAACAATACCCGTGGGAATTTCTGCAGGCTGGCTGAAAATTGCAGGATTGCAGAGATACTGCCCTGCCCTGTTGCTTTTTCTCTCCCTGAAATCCTCAGTGACTTCAGCAGTTCAGGGCTGGCCCAGAAACTCCAGCATCTCTGGGATCCTTCAGGATGGAAGGCTCTCCACGTGGGTGAGTTATCATTATTTGTTCTTCTCCTCTCCCTGATCCACTCTGGAAGACAGATGTGCATTCTTTCCCCCCCCCTTCCTCTGGAACTGATGAAACGTGAAAATCACTCCTTAGATTAAAAAAAAAACAAAAACAAACAACAAACCAACAACAACAGGCCCCCAAAGTCAACACAATACATTGGGAGCTGTTTGGTTTCTAATCTCTGAAAAGGAGCCAGGTCAAACAGACACAGCTCCACTGATAAATTGTTATTCTTAGAGATTTCAGCCTTCCATGGAAAAGTACTGAGCTGGCTCTGTGATCTCCTCTTACACTGTCATCAACATCCAGCAGTGGAAAATTGGAGAAAACCAGCTGCAAGGGAGAGTGTTAAGGGCATTATTTTTAGCTGCTTCATTTCTCTTCTGCCTCCACACGCTTCCCTGTGGAAAACAAGGCTGTCTGTCCCAGGGACTTGCTGGCAGCTGCTGTGTCAGGCACCACAAAGCTGCTCCTTGGGAAGGAGATGCTGAATAAAAGCAGAGAAATCCGAGTGGTGGCACAGCAGGAGAGGTGAGGGAATGTGGGGAAGCTTTGGGAAGAGTGTGGGTTCTTCCTTCACCAGAGGGTTGAGTTGGAGGGGTGGAGCTGCAGTTGAATCTCCCTCTCCCTCTGCTGAGGTGGTTCCTTTCTTATTTCCACTCCTTGCTGGGACATCTAAGAGTCTCAAATACTCTTAAATACTCAAATAGCTCACAAACACTGATGTGCTCTTACAACAGGGCTGCTGAAGAGAGGAATTCCCACCCTGGAACTTCTGAGGGCTGAGGTAGCAACTAAATCCAGGAGGGTTCTGGTGCAGGTGTGGATGGATGCACTGCCAGCCCGTCCCTCACCTCCTGAGGGTGACTTCCAGTCAGACTGGGAGCACTGGGCTGGAAAGGCTCAGTCTGCCCACTTTGGCCCTGTGAGGTCTCACCTGACTGGAAGAATCATCAAATCATGGAATGGTTTGGGATGGAAGGGACCTTAAGGATCATCCAACCCCCTGCCATGGGCAGGGACACCTTCCACTAGCCCAGGTCCAACCTGGCCTTGGACACTTCCAGGGATCCAGAAGCAGCCACAGCTTCTCTGGGAATTCTATCTCAGCCCCTCCTCACCCTCACAGGGCAGGATTTCTCCCCAGTATCCCATCTAACCCCGTCCTCTGGCAGTTTGAAGCCATTCCCTGTGTCCTGTCCCTCCATCCCTTGTCCCCAGTCCCTCTCCAGCTCTCCTGGAGCCCCTTTAGGCCCTGGAAGGGGCTCTTAGGTCTCCCTGGAGCCTTCTCTTCTCCAGGCTGTGCCAGGGCCTCCCCACCCTCCCAGGGAGGAATTTCTTCCCCAAGAAAGCTCTCTGTGTGCCAGCCTGTTTTTCCTCCTCATTTTTGGGGCACTTCAGCTCCTTCTAAACCTCTGGCCTTGGCAGCACCTCTGGATCCTCACCTCTGTGAGCATCCTGGCAGCCAGGGGGGTGAAACCTGGGCGTGCTCCAACCCCTCCTGCTACCCCAGGAGAGTGTTTGGAGGCCAAACCAGGGAAGAACCCAAATGGTGCCAGAGCAGGATGACGCCTGGGCCTGAAAAATTAATGATCCTCTCATGCCATGCACGAGTTTGTGCAGGAACAGGGCCAGCACAGGTGGGTCTCCTGCATCTCCTGCACCTTTTTAACTTGGTTTGGCAAATCTGGAACCTGAAGTCCTCGGTGACTTCAGCAGTTGAGGGCTGGCCCAGAAACTCCAGCACTTCTGGGATCCTTCAGGATGAAAGGCTCTCCATGTGGGTGCTGTTTTTAGGGAAGATTTGGGGTTTGATCGATGTTTTTAGGGAAGATTTGGGGTTTGATCGATGTTTTTAGGGAAGACTTGCCTAAAAGTTCAGTCCTTTCCAAGGATAAAGTCGTTGGTGTTGGTTTGCCCACCCTCCATTAACAATTTGGGAGGTTTTGCTGAGCAGGTTTAGGGGTTTCCATGCCTGGGATTTCCCACTGGGATGCCCTGGTGTCAGGGGCTGTTTTTCCAAGATAAATTGCCTCTATTTGTCCTGCTTGGCACCTCCTGGCATTTGACAGATGCCTGGAAAGGAGAGAGACTTAAAAAAATCTTGGCACGGGGGCAAGTCCTGACCATGAGTTGAGGAGCTGGGCAGGAGTTCAGAGGTGACTCTTGGGAATGCTGTGTTGGACACAGAGGCTGAGAGCAGAGAGTTTGGGGGGCTCTCAGTGCTCCAGAAAGCGAGCTGGAGGAATTCCTCTGGATTGCTGAGGGCAGGAGAAGTGGCTGGAAAGGAATAGGGAGCAGGGAGGTGGGTGACCCACGAGGTCCTCTCCAAGTGTTTCCTTCCTGTTTCCCTCTTGGATGGATTTCCCTTCACTCCTGTTCACTTCCTAAGGTGAACATGGCTCTGGATTGGGAGTCTTTGTGGGTACATGAGGACTGTTCATCCCTCAGGGACTTATTCTCAACCCCAGTGGTTCTGACCAAATAAACCCCATGGACATCATTTTGAGTTAGAAGAGGACAAAGATCCCATTAAAAATCACTGGGGCAAAAATGTAACAACCATCCCATTTATTTCTCCTCTGTACCCGTGTCCTGTTATCCCAGATAAGAGTGTTTTGGCTAACTGGGAAGGTAATGCAGCTCTCCCTCAGAAGAGAGCTCAAAACCTCCAAGGCAGAGTAAATCGGTTGACTTAGAGAATTTGAGCAGATTGGGTTTGTTTTTGATCTTTTTGGCCAGTGAGATTAAGCCTGAACCTTGTTTTTCCCCTTCTATCTCCACGATAAACCCTGGAAGCTGCTCCTGCTGACAGGATACCTGGAAAGTGTCTCGTCGTTGAAGTGCTTCAGAGCCTCCTTTTCTTTATTTGTGGCTCTGAGAGTGGAACGTGGGCAGCTGAGAGAGATCAGGGAGGTCTGGATGCCTCAAGGTTATTCCAATTTGTTTGCTTCCCTGCTTTTTACACCCCTGGGGGCTGAGAGCATTTCCCTTCCCTATTTTGATTTTTCTGTTCCTTCCTCCCATCTCAGGAGCCTCTACCCCTGTGTCCTGAGGGCACGTCCTGCCAGGAGCCTGGTTGTTGTGCTTGGCTCGTTATTTACAGGCCTGGTGTCTCCTTAATGTGGCTAAATCCTGATTTTTTTTCCCCTTCCATCTAGTGCAAATTGACACCCCAGTCTTGTTTAGTCTCACACACTCTGCTGCACAGTCCCAGAGCTGTTTGAGCCCGTCAGACTCCCCAAAATTCAGAGCTTTGCCCTGTTCAACGCCCCCTAAGTGCAGGTGCAGAGAGCTGGCTGGGTGTGGAGATGCTGAACTGCTCAATAACATGATTTGTAAAACTAATTTTGTTTCTAATTCTGGGTTTGTTGCACATAAACTCTCAGATGAAGCCTCTGCTCACCAGAAATATGATTTAACTGGGTTTAGGGGGCATTAAAGAGGTGAAAAGCAACGGGCTGTGCCTTCACAGGAGCTGCACCTGAAACAGTCCTTGCCCAGGAAATACAACCAGAGCTGCCTTGGCAGGAGTTTTGTCTCATTTCTCGAGGTAAACTGGGAATAATGGGAAATAACAGCCCTTTTTTATTGGGAATTGCCTGTGCAGACCCTCCCTCTCGGCTCGGCACAGGCTGGAGAACATCTCAGGCACGTCACTGCAGGGGGAGGAGGCACTGGGGCATCTTTCAAACAAAAGGAGGAGGTGTTATTGTGTTATTATTTTGTGTTATTGTGTTATTATTTGTGTTGTTGTGTTATTATTTGTGTTATTTCAAAAAAATATGGGGAATTCACTGCTCCTGGCACTGCCTGTGCTTGGCCTTCAGAGCCCACACACTCCAGGCAGGGAATATCAGGGAATATCTCCAGGCTGTGGAGAGAGTGCTCAGGAGGTTTGAAAACCAGGGAAAAATGAGGGGTAACCAGTGAACAGTGGGATTTAACCAGTGAATAATGAGATTTAACCAGTGAATAATGAGATTTAACCAGTGAATACTGGAGTTTAACCAGTGACTAACAGGGTTTAACCAGTGACTAACAGGGTTTAACCAGTGAATAACGAGGTTTAACCAGTGAACAGTGAGGTTTAACTAGTGAACAATGTGGTTTAACCAGTGAATAACGAGGTTTAACCAGTGAACAATGAGGTTTAACCGGTGAACAACAAGGTTTAACCAGTGAATAACAAGGTTTAACTAGTGAAAAGTGAGATTTAACTAGTGAAAAATGAGGTTTAACCAGTGAATAGTGAGATTTAACCAGTGAATTATGGGGTTTAACCAGTGAACAGTGAGGTTTAACCAGTGAACAATGAGGTTTAACCAGTGAATAACAAGGCTTAACCAATGAATAATGAGATTTAACCAGTGAATAATGAGATTTAACCAGTGAATAATGGGGTTTAACCAGTGAACAATGAGGTTTAACCAGTGAATGACAAGGTTTAACCAGAGAATAATGAGGTTTAACCAGAGAATAACGAGGTTTAACTGGTGAACAACGAGGTTTAACTGGTGAACAACGAGGTTTAGCCAGTGAATAACAAGGTTTCCAAACTGACCATGTGTGCACAGACCTCCACACGTGTGCCCAGAGTCCCTCACCTCTGCCCTTTGCAGAGCTGCCACCTGAAAGGAAATCCCTGGCTATTCCTCTTCCTTCCTTCCTCACATTCTTTGGAAAATGCTGTTCCAGTCGTTGGGAAAGGGCTGGTAATGAATGGCTTAATTTGATAGTTCAAGTGTCATGGTCTAACTTTTCCTTCATGGAAGCTAAACAGGAATGTCTCCATGGAGCAAACTGGTGCTTGGCATCCCCCCCATGGAGGTAACTTTTTAAAAAATATTAGAAATTAATTAATAATATAAATAAATATAATAATATAATGTATAATAAAATATAAATTCATAACTGAGTAGCCTCTGATATGACACTGAACTTCTGATTTTTGCTGAGAGCTCACTATGCCTTGGGGGATGATTGGGTTTGGCTTTTTTAGAAATATGGCCTACAGTGTAAAAATGAAGGGAAAAAGAGGGTTTTATATGTGAGAATAAATGTGTATGTAATACACATTAATGTATAAACTTCAAAGTGACGTGGCTCTTACAGTTGTAAAGTAGATTTACCCCATACTTATAGTGATAATATTGCATATGGCTTCCAGCTTTTAGTGATGGTAGGAGGCAAATTAAAACCACCAGAAAATAATTTCCAAACACTCCCCATCCCTGGAAGTGTCCAAGGCCAGGTTGGAGCAACCTGGGCTAGTGGAAGGTGTCCCTGCCCATGGCAGGGGGTGGCACTGGGTGGGTTTTAAGGTCCCTCCCAACCCAACCCATCGTATGATTTTGGGGCACATGTTGATGGTGTGTTGCTAAATTTAACTTGCTCAGGGACCACAGGTGGAGTCTGACACGGATGGAGGAGTTGTGTCAGTGCAGGAATGACAAAGTTCAGCAGGAGCTGAAGAGGGAAAAATTCCCTCCGGGCAATGCTGAGGGAGAAGGTTTGGAGCAGAGAGATCAAGGCCAGCCACTCACTCCGTGCATGGGCTTGTGTTTGGTGATGAACTCCAAACTTTCCAGGCCTTTTCTCCACCTCAAGGAGGAGCTGAAAGTCCCTCTCCTCCTCCTCCTCAGGCTTTCCAAGGGCTGCAGGGCTGCTCAGCTCAGCCAGACCCAGAGGGTGGGTGCCAGGGAGGTTGTGGACTCCCCATCCCTGGAAGTCTCCAAGGCCAGGCTGGACCTGGAGCAACCTGGGCTAGTGGAAGGTGTCCCTGGATGAGCTTTGAGGTCCCTTCCACCCCAAACCATTCCATGATATCTCCTCCTGGCACTGCTGGTGTTGGGGTAGCTGCACCAGGATCCCTCTCCCAGAGGAGAGATGCCCTTGGAGAGGGAGATCTCCACCCAGGCCCTTCCTTTGGCACAGGGTCTCTCCTGCCCCTTTGGCTGCCCAGTGTCCACCAGGATCCTGGACAACTGGATTAAGGCCAAAGCTGTCCCTGCTCCTTGCAGGGAGGGTTGGAACAGATGATCCCTAAAGGTCAACCCAAACCATCCTGAGGTTCCTCCGAGGGGCTGGCAGTGCCAACCACGGGGGTGTGGGTGTGCAGGGGCATTTTCTGGGCTCCTCTTTGGGCAGGGCTGTGAACATGGACCTGTGTTTGACCACATAAAGCTGCTGCACCAAACAGGTGCTGGGGTGCCAAGGACAAAGCCAGGTCATCCCTTCCCTTCTGTGCAGGACCTCTGGAGAACATCCCGGGGGAGGTCAAGCCTGGGCTGGGTTATGATGAGCACCAGTTGATTTGCCTTGTTAATAAGAAGCTGGGATGATGGAGATCTGACAGTTTTAGGTATTTCCAGAAATAAAAACCACGTGGAAGCAGGGAGGACCCTGTGAAGAGAGGCAAACTCAGGCTGGGAGCAGGATAAATGTGACCCCAGGGCTGCAGTTTCCAGACCATTTTCTCCTGGCACAAAGCAGGGAGTGAAACATCTTTCCCTGCTCCAGTGCTTCCTTCAATTCCCACACCACCCTCTCTGGGATGCATTAGGACAGTTGTTTTCCAGGTGAGGGAACTGCACTGGGAACTGGTCCAGGTTCTGAGAAAGAAAAGTTGTGTTTTAACCCAGCTCAGATCCCGGTTTCATTCCTCACGGCATCTTGGACATGGAGGATAACAGGAGGAAGGAGCAGCTTGGGCTGAGGGCAAGACCCCTTTTTGGGGTCCTCTTTGGCTGACAGTGATGGTGAGACCATGGCCTAATCCCATCCCAGCTCCAGCACTTGTCTTGACACCAAAATAAAACATTCTGCCTCAACCAGGCGGACCAATTCCATGAAAATCCCTGTTTCCGTGGTAACTGCTGACAGCCCTCACCCTGCAGGTGTCATTCCCATGGGATTCACGAGCAGAAAACCAGCAGCTGGAAGATTCCCCCTCATCCCATGGGCAAGGCCTGGAATGGAGGGATCACTTCTTCCTGTGGTGAGTAGAGGAAACCACTGGGGTTTGGGACATTTGAAACGACCCCGGGTGGAATGCTGGAGGATTTGCCATCTCCTGTCAGGCAGATCCCAGCAGCCCGTGTTTTTCTGGCAGCCTGAAGTGTGACTTCTGATATGGATAAATGGAAATCATAGAATCATGGAATACCCTGAGCTGGAAGGGACCCCCAGAGATCATCCATTCCAACTCCTGGCCCTGCACAGAACACCCCAAAAATCCCACCATGTCCCTGAGAGAGTTGTCCAGATATTCACCTAATTTGGCTTTTGCTTTCTTTTTTTTTTTTTCACTTTTTTAGGAGCAGAGGTGAATATTCCTTGCAAAACAAATGTAGCTCTTAAAACAAAACCCCCCAAATACTGTCTTTTGTTAACTAAAAAGCGCTGAAAAACACTTCTGTGCTCAGCAACAATGAGCTAAAAAGATTTGAAGAGGTTGGGAAACGAACAATTTCAACGCTTTCTCATCCTTTTAGATGAAGCCAATCGTAACAAAAAAAAAAAAAAAGAAATGGTAATGAATGGTAAGTTATTCATGACTTTTTCTGAAGAAGGAATAACAATGTGCCTTCTGTGAATATTAAGTAAAAGTAACCTTGGGGGGATGGGTTGGGCTTGGTGAGTCACACACAGGTTTGGAATTTTTGATGTTCTACAACTGGCAGCCCTTCCAAGCTCTCCGTGTGTCCCTGAGTCCCTCCAAGGCAGGTGGAATGAGTTCCTGCAGATCCATCCATGGTTTGGATCCTGTGGCAGCACAGGGAGGAGTTTGGAGCTGAAGGAGCTCTGTGCTGAGTGCAGCCTGTCTTGCAAAACATTGCCTGGCCTTCCTTACCCAGGGGCTGGATCTATGGAAACATTCCCAGGTGTCCTGTTGGGAAGGCTCCTCCGTTGCTTCAGGATGGGGGTTCACTGGTTGGTTCTCAGAGCTGAGCTTGGTGAAGGTGATTAAAATGGTTAATGAGCCCCACAACCTCTCGGCCCCTTCAGTCTGGGAACAAAAAGTGGGGCAGATTGGGATGGGAAGAGCTGCAAAGCTCCAAAGAGGGAGGATTAAAGGGGCCGTGTGTCACCCACCCTGGCTGTGGGGTGGGATGTGGGTTCCAGTCCCACAGTGACACCATTTTCTGGGCCAGGGGGGCCCCTGGAGCGGGATGGTGCCCATGGCCTGGGCAGCACTTCATTGTTCTGCTTCCTTCTCAGCATTCCGAGGGGGCCTCGGGCCTGACTCGCTGCAAAGCATCGAGATCCTGCTGAGGCTCCTCTCCAGCTGATTCCCTTCTCTCCAGCTGATTCCCTCAGCTCCAGCTGATTCCCTTCTCTCCAGCTGATTCCCTCCTCTCCAGCTGATTCCCTCCTCTCCAGCTGATTCCCTTCTCTCCAGCTGATTCCCTTCTCTCCAGCTGATTCCCTCAGCTCCAGCTGATTCCCTTCTCTCCAGCTGATTCCCTCAGCTCCAGCTGATTCCCTCCTCTCCAGCTGATTCCCTCCTCTCCAGCTGATTCCCTCCTCTCCAGCTGATTCCCTCAGCTCCACCCTGCCTTCCTTTGTGCCACTGGGGAGCCCTGGAGACCAAATCCACCCTTGGGAGCCCTGGAGACCAAATCCACCCTTCTGGAGCCAGAGGAAAAGCTCCTGTGCTGGTGAAGGCTTCTCCTGAAGGCTCTCCAGAGGCAGGTTGGTGGGAATTACAATGGTGGGAGCTTCATCCCTGTGTTTTCCAAATGGGCAAACAGTTCTAGGTTTTGATAATTGTCTCCTGCCTGGAGAAATTGTGGATGCTCCTTCCTTGGAAGTGTCCAAGGCCAGGTTGGATGTGGCCCTGAGCAACCTGGGCTGGTGGAAGGTGTCCCTGCCCATGGCAAGGGGTTGGAACTGGGTGATCTTTAAGATCCCTCCCAACCCAAACCATTCCATGGCCATCTAATTCCAGGATTCCAGGACTGCTGTGAGGAGAATCCACAGGACAGCTGGAGCAGAGGGACAGAGCAGGCTGAGCTGAGGTTTGGCTGATGCTCAGAGATTCCCAATTCCAACTGGATGTTAAACCCTCCAGCACAGACACTCCGGCTGCTGCAAGCCTGGGGGCTGGACACAAATTCCAGGGGGAGGTGGAGAGGGAAAGCAGAAGGAGTTGTCACCCTCCTGTGCTGTGTGTGAGGGTGGCACTCAGTGACCTCAGAGGTCTCTCCCAACCCAAATGGCTCCATGACCAGATGTCTAAGTGGGGTGGGATTAGTTAATCCTGGTTTGCTAAGCCTATAGTCAGGATTTAGCACGAGGTGATATAGGGAATAATGTGTAATTACTGTTCCAGATGGATTGTGATAAGAGCAGTAATTAAGGAGGGATGAGTAGCTCTGTGTGTCAGCAGAGAATTAAGGGTGTTAAACAGAGGTTTGAAGATCAGGAGATGCAGAGAGGAGATGGGTCCAACTGTCAGAAGAAATTCCCTGCTAGTAAGGTGCCAATAAACATATTTTTAACCTTATTTAGTAGGAAAAGATCATATGACCAGATAGAATTACAGATGTAGGCTAAGAGATTTTATAGCAGTGATTAAAATTAATTAAAATAATTCCCATCTGTTCCTGCAAAGACTGATCTTGTCAAATGTGGGAAGGCCAGGGCTGACCCCCAGTGCTGGGGACATTCCAGCTTTGCTGATCCCTGGCTATCTTGGCTCCCTCAACAGAATCCCAGGATCCCCAAGGGTTGGAAAAGCCCTCCAGGATCCTCCAGTCCCACCATTCCCCAGCACCACCAGGATCACCCCTAATCCATCCCATCCATCCCCAAGGGCCACATCCAGACACCTGGGGGACATTTCCAGGGAAGTTGCTGAAGAAACAGGATCTCTCCCACAGGATTTAGGGACTGAAGGCAGGAGCAGCCAAGGAAAACTCCCATCCCTGCCCCTGCTCGGGCCCATCCCAGGGAAGAGCAGCCTTTGGAAGGAGCCCAAGCTCCAGGAGCAGAGGGGATGGCTGGAATTTGGGCCCGGGCTGATCTCCCCGGGAGCCTCTGCTGGTTCCAGGCAGCAGGAATTCCAAGCTGTGCCTTTCCTGGCTCAGGAAAGGGTTCCCTGTGCAAGGAAGGGCTTACCCAGAACAGGACTTTAAGCTTGGGCTTAAAGCCAAACCCACGGTGAGGGGCTTCACTGGGGCACTGAGGGAGAGGAAAGAACAGCAGGAAAAGCTCCAGGAACCTTGGAGGACGTTGCCTTCATTTCAAAAGGGTGTTTTTGGCCTAAAACAAACCCTCAGACCTCAGGGATCTGCCCTGAGAATGAACAGATGCCCCAGGCCTGGACAACCCGGGGTGCTCGGGGAGTTTTAGGACTTCCAAAATAGGGACAAAAAGATGATTCCATGAAGTGTCTGCCCAGAGAGGTTGAGGACTCACCATCCCTGGAAGTGTCCAAGGCCAGGTTGGAGCAACCTTGGGCTGGTGGAAGGTGTCCCTGCCCATGGCAGGGGGTGGCACAGGATGAGCTTTAAGGTCCCTCCCAACCCAAACCAGTCTGACCAGGTCATACAAAATTAATTAGATGCAACTTCATATTTCCGATCACTTCTTTCTCTCTGTTGGTTTGTGTCTTTCTGGAACAGGACTTGGACTGTCAGTTCTCTGAATCCCAGAATTACCAGGGTTGGAAGAGACCTCCAGGATCATCCAGTGCTCTCATCCAACACCACCAGGATCACCCCCAATCCATGTCCCCAAGGGCCACATCCAGACACCTCTGGGACACTCCCAGACACAGGGACTCCACCACCTCCCTGGGACACTTATTCCAAGGCCTGACCACTCTTTGAGAGTAAAAAATTTTCCCAAATCTCTCATCTGAACCTCTCTCTTCCCATCCCCTTTCCTCCTCAACCGGGTTGATGGGAAAACAAGAGCGGGGTCCTTGAGGGAAGGCCACCACCCAACGTGCCTTGGGAGACAACCTGGGAGAGGCCTGTGGGCAGCATTCCCTGACTTCTGGCAAGGGTAGAGTCTGAATGCTCAAACACATGGATATTCTGCTTAAAATAGACCGGCAGGGAGTTTATGACAACCCTGCAGTCCCTGGGGAGACTCTCTGATGAGGCAAATGTTTCAATGCAAATAAAACCAGGCAGGTCAGGAAGAAGCTTTTCAACAGAAAATGCCAGGGCCAGAAATATCAACTGAAAAATGTGCCTTTTTTAATTTTATTTTTTTATTTATTTTTTTTTTTTGTTAACTATGAAGTCCATACCAAATTATCCTTCCTGGTTGTAACCATTTCCTCAGCCCCCACACAATAGTCTGTCTTCATTTGCTGCTCTGGTTTGTTTAGACTCCAAGCTTTTATGGGCTTGGTTTTATCAGCTTGATGTGTTTATAAAGCTCCATGTATGTCTTGGGAGTTGTTTGAACAATAAGAGGAACTAAATAGAGGGTAATTAGGGCTAAATTGCTGCAAAATATACACTTCAGAGTCCTATAAGGGGCTTGATTAAGTGTATATTTGATTTGGGAGTGGATTCCCCATCCCTGGGTGGGATTGGATGTCTTGGTGTCTGGATTGGATGGGCTTGGAGCAACCTGGGATAGTGGAAGGTGTCCCTGCTCATGGCAGGGGGTGGCACTGGATGGGGTTTAAGGTCCCTCCCAATCCAAACCATTCCCTGATTCCATGCTATGTGAGTTGGATTGGACTGGCTCCCTCCTCACTCCTCTCACTGCTGGTTTTTTCCAGCTATTCCAGCTGGAATTCTCCTGCTGTTGTGCAGCACAAACCCTGCAGGAGTTTGGGAACTACAGGATTTGTGAGGCATTTGCTGGGATTCTCCAGCAAGGGATTCACCCCCTGGTGTGAGGGAAGGAATGTGGCTGGTGCTGAAAGTACTGGAGCATCTTGCAGGTCAGGACCAGCCCCAAATTCCCTCCTCAGGGTCCTGGCAACATTCCAAATCCTGATCCAGAGCTCCAGGAGCATTTGGACAGCGCTCTCAGGGACAGAGTGGGATTGTTGGGATGTCCTGGGCAGGGCCAGGGCTTGGACTTGGATGATTTTTGGGCATCCCTTCCAATTCGGGATGTTCCATGATTCCATGACATCAGGTGCCAAAGCTCTGGGTGAGCTCCTGGACTGGCAGTCAGCTGTGCTGGGAGGACATTTCCTTCCTTGGGGAGCCCCTGGTGCTCTCTGGAGGGTGAGTTTTTTCCCAGGTCTCTGCGCTCCAAGCCCGGGGTTTGCAGTGAAAGCCCCGAAATAAAAAGCACAGATGAAAGAGTCTCCTTTTCGCTGAGGGAGATGCCAGTTGTTGATAAACTGGGTCAGCTGAGAAGTGTCTGGGGGTGGGAGTTGTGTTACTGGACTTGAAAGTCTGGGGTGGATGTCAGAGCTGCTCCCCTGAGCTCCTCCTTGCCCTAATTTAGGCACCTCCCCGGGGCTGGGATGACTCACGGCCTGCAAAGCCCTACAAAGGAATCCTGGCTCAGGGCTTGGGGGCTGCACTGGGCAAAGGCTGAATTTGGGGCAAACTAATCCTGACCTGGGGGATTTTACACGGGAGTTGATGGATATTGTGAAGGCAAAAAGCTGTTTGGCAGAATCCCGGGATGGGTGAGGCTGGAAGGGCCCCCCCAGTGGGGCATCTGCTCTCCTTCTCCCACAGCATCACCATTCCTCCCTGAAACTCTTTTCCTTTTGTCTCAGGGCCTCGTTCTTCCCTTGGCACAGTCAGAATCTCTCCTGGAGGTTTCCAGGATGTCTCTCTCCACTGTCCTTCCAGCCATGTTCCAGCTAATTCCCCCCTCTCCTTCAGGACCTTTAAAGGTTCTTCTTGTTCTTCTGTACAAGGACCTTTAAAGACCACAGGGTGGGTGGGGTTGGAAGGACCCACAGTGTCCCATCTCCCCGCTCCAGCAGGGCCATCCTAGAGCACATGGCACAGGATTGTGTCCAGATGTTCTGGAATATCCCCAGGGAGGAGACTCCACACCTCCTCTGGTCTCTGATGCAGCTCCTAGATTTTTCCTTTGTTTGTTTGGGTTTTTTTTTTGATTTTCCAGGATTGTATTTGGGAGCATCAGCAAACCTGGCAGAGGATTTGTCTTCACGGGCAGGGACAGAGTGACTTTCACCCAGAGGTCAGTCCTTGGTCCACCTGGCCATGAAGCCATCCTGGAGCACCCAGAACATCTCCACAGGCATGATCCGAAGCAGTTGTGTAAAAAAGGACAACAAAACCTTAGTGCTGTGTTTGAGAAAGGTCCAAATCCAGCTTTTTGGAGCTTCAACTACAGGAAGATACTGGGTAATGATACAGATCTTTATGCACAGGAAGATACTGGAT